TTACAAAATTATGAGGTAAGTTGGTATTATGGCTAAGTGACTAAATACTAGTTGTGAGTTTAGCAATGTGAATGCTTTTGTTTTGGCACTATACATAGTTTCAGTATTGGATTATCACAGGCCAACTTATGACTAGTTAAGATTCATTATTTTGAGATTGAGATTGATATTTCTGTTTATGGTCAAATGGGTGAGTGAGTGTAAGTGTGAACCACCAGGTGGTATTCGTATTATTAGTTGACAGGGTGTATCAGGGAGATAAGATGTTTTCTGATGGTAGTTTTGAAGGTGATGAATGTGTCTGCAGTTTTGGAATTTTCAGGTAGGGTGTCCAGATTTTAGGGCCTTTGACATACATTGAATTTTGTAAAGGTTTAGTCGGACACGGGGAATGTCATAGAGATGTTTGTGTCTGGTGTTGTGCCTGTGGGTTCTGTCACAACTATCAAGAAAGCGTTTTAGGTCAAGGTTAATATTGGAATTTAAGTCCTGTAGATGTAGATTGCACAGTAGTAAGTGTGGATGTACTGAACAGGGAGTAAGTTTAGATCTATGAAGAGTGGGGGGGGGGGGGTGTTGCCAGGGATGGGATTTAGTGATTATTCTTACTGCGACTTTTTGTTGGGTTATTATTGGCTTTAGGTGTGTTGCTGCAGTTGAATCCCAAGCACAGATAACATAGGTGAGGTATGGATATATAAGTGAATGGTATAGTGTGAAGGGCAGTTTGCGGCACGTAGTATCGTATCTTGGAGAGGATCCCAACCGTTTTGGATACTTTTTTGGTTATGTGTTGGATATGGGTGCTGAAGTTCAGGTTGTTGTCGAGGTATAGGCCTAGGAATTTGCCCTCATTATGCCTGGCAATTAGAGTGTTGTCGATCTTAATGTTAATTTGCGCATCTCCTGCTCTGCTACCAAACATAATGTAGTAGGTTTTGTCAACGTTAAGCGTAAGTTTATTGGCTGTCATCCAAGTTGATATTTTGATCAGCTCCTCATTAACAATGGTGTTGAGGGTGGCAAGATTAGGGTGAGAGATGACATAAGTCGTGTCGTCAGCAAAGAGAATGGGTTCAGGTGTCGAGATACGTTTGGAAGATCATTGATGTATATGAGGAAGAGCAGGGGACCAAGGACACTTCCCTGCGGAACTCCAGTATCAAGTGGCTGTGTTGTTGATGCTGTGTCTTTAATGGTGACATACTGATACCTATTAGTAAGGTAAGATTTGAAATATGCAAGCGCATGGCCTCTTATACCATAATGGTCAAGTTTGTGGAGTAGGATGCCGTGGTCTACTGTGTCAAAAGCTTTTCTTAGGTCAATAAAAATTCCTAGTGGATATTCCTTATTTTCCAATGCTGTGTAAAGCAGATCTAGCATTTTTATGATTGCATCGTTAGTGCTTTTATTTTTCCTGAATCCAAATTGGCTGGGGTTGAGTATGTTTTGTGACGTTATAAATGAATACAGTCTCCTGTGCACGAGTTTCTCAAAGATTTTGGATAGCAATGGTAAGTTTGATATTGGCCTATAGTTGTTTAAATCTGTAGGGTCACCACCTTTATGTATTGGTGTAACCCTTGCCATCTTGAGTAATTTCGGGAAGGTGCTAGTTTCTAGTGACTTGTTAAAAAGTAATGAGATAATATGCGAGAGGACATGGGCCACTCTTTTGTACAATAATGGTGGGACATGAGACAGATTCCCTGAGTTATTTTTAAGTGACTTTATAATCTCGGTGACTTCCGTGGGCTCAGTTGGAGCAAGATAGAAGGAATTTGGGAAATTCCCATCTAGGTAGTCCCCGGCATGGGCATTGGTACGTGGGATTTTATTGGCGAGATTAGAACCTATGGTTGAGAAGAAGTCGTTTATCTTGTTAGCTGTGTCAGTGGGTTGCAGTGGTGTTTCATTAGGTTTAGTTAGGACAATATTCTTGTTTTTTTTCAGTTTGTGGGTCCCTAGAATCTGAGAGAGTGTTTTCCAGGTCTTTTTTATATCTCCTCTTGTGTCAGTGATCTACTGGAGTAGTATAGTTTGTTTGGCTTTCTTTATTACTTTGGTGAGAACTGATGAATAGTGTTTAAGAATATCTTTGTGTATTAAGCCCTGTCTATATTGCTTTTCATATTGGTGTTTCTTATCAGTGGATTTCAGAATGGTGCTGGTTAGCCATGGGCAACCAAGCCGTTTGTTTGTGATCTGTTTCGTTTTTATAGGACAATGTTTGTTGTATAGTCTAAGTAGTTTGTTAAGAAAAATGTCTGTCCAGTCATCAATACCATTGGCCTTGGAGAATTCTGTAGGCCAGTCAACAGTCTCTAGGTCAGCTGTGAACTTCCTTATTGAGGCCTCATCATGGAGTCTAAATGAGACTTTGTTGTATTCAAGTGGTGGTTTACTAATGTTTGTCAAGAGGAAGGTAGGGTAGTGGTCTGTAGTGCTATCTGTGATTATCCCTGATTTAAGGGGGGCTAGTATATTGGTCCATATGTTGTCTATTGTAGTTGCACTTGTTTCAGTGAACCTGGTTGGTTTAGTTATTGTTGGTATGAGAAGTGTGTTGTTCATATTGTTGATGAAATCAGTTACAGGCTGATCATCTAGTAGGCCAAGGTTGATGTTGAAGTCTCCAGCTAAGAGAAGGTGGTGCTTATTCATTTGTCTGTTTGTTATTAGTGCCTTTAATTTCTCACTGAAGTTTGGGATGTTTGTAAGCCAGCAGAAGGCCTCGGTCAGATAACCAAAAGCTCCAGCTGCGGTCATCATATGACTATGACCCACGTCAGGAAATGCTTGTCCTGTTTCCTAACAAACCTTACCTAACCTAACCTGGCTGAGGACCAAAACACTGCAGTAGGCCTACTAGCCCATGGTATGCAGGCCCTGCTTACATCCAGAATATATTTGCTTTGTAGAAATTGGTAAAGAAATGAAGATTTACCATTACGTTATCTATATATAATAATGTCAGATGACATATCCACTTCCAAGTATCTCATTATACTTTATTTACTTCCTCCATACTTCTTCCTTCCAATTTTAAAACTGTGAGAATAATAAAAATACTACACACTTAAAATTGTAATGTTGTATTATTATAAATGGTACTGCTTGAAATACGTACTGTATTAGTTATGTGCTACATCAAGACTATAAATCTTATTAACCATAAAACTTTTTGACTGCCTCACAGTAGTAATAAGGTAAAATAATGAATAATTAAAACTTAGCACTCTTTACCTGTCTAGACTTAAGTAGTCTTTAAGTACAGTGGTACCTTGACTTAAGAGTTTAATTCATTCCACGACCCCAGCTCGTAACTCAATTTGCTCGTATATGAACCCTTTGAGGGTCCAGAGGCCAAATATCAAAGTGTGCACCAGTGTCCAAGAATTTTCAAAAAATATTTTTTTTTTTCTTATGAAATGGTAGAGAATCTTTTTGTGAAGGTAATAAAACAAAATTTTTGATGTGTCAGCAATATATGCGCATTGGCGATTTTGCCGACTTTGACTCCCATTTTAGGCTAATTACCTTATTCCAATCGACCAAATTCTTAGCTGTTTCACTAGTATTACTTCTATCGATTGAGCACAAGAAATTGCCAACTCAACCGTTTCAGTTACAAAATAGTGATTGGAAATTGGTAATTTGGCCAATTTAGTGCAAAGTTCAAAATATTCCAATTTCAAAATAGGGTCCAGCATAAACAATACAGGCATTCCTGGCACTAAACTAACATTTCCTCTGTTCATTAGTTACGTTTTCAGCCTTTACAAATGAATTCCATTTTGATTTTTAATTCACATAATGAATTTTTATTCAAACCAAAAAATAAAAGATTTACTGACATGCAATACTGTAATAATTGTATAAGTAATATCGGCACATTTGTGAATGTATATTAGACCCACCAGCTGGCATGTATTAGATGTGCGAGGTCATTTGTTTACTCTTGAACATCGGCAAAAATTTAACATTTCCGCTACTTTGAGCTCAGTTTCAAGCCATTTTCAGTACTAAAACCAATCAAAATCATCTCTAGGTCTGTAGTATATCTTCCATTCTATCAAATGAGACCTAGAAATCGCAAATACAACTATAAAAAACATACGAAAAACACTGCAAAGTTGCTGTTTTAATCGAAAATTATGGTCTCAGTTTTTTTCTCTCATGCACTATGTGCTGCTGGATTTCTTTTATGTGGTGCACACATACCACATAGATATATTATCTCATATCTAGGCCCAAATTTACTGCTCACAGTTTATCACAGTGAGCTGAGCTCATGGCGTAGGTCTACAGTTTGGACCCTCAACGTAAAGCTGTAGATCTACGGCATGGACCCCGAAAGGGTTAAATCAGTTTTCCTCATTGAAATTAATTGAAATGCCATTAATCCATTACAGCTTATTTATCTATCACAATTGGTTAATATGACATAATAAACAATATAAATAACATAGGAAATATGAACACATATGCATATGCGTTTATATTTCCATTGTGTCGGTATTTTATACCATTTATTTCCATAAATAACATAGAAATGTGATACATACTCTAGAATGAATAAAATATTTCACTGAATAAAATATTTCATTATGTGACTACTGGTGGTGGCCACTCCCAAGGTAAAAATAATTATCGTTCTGACCATATCGTCCCATTTTTGCCCTTCTGAGGTCTTATTATAAGAGAAAATGGAGTGTTTGTGAGGCTAACTGCACTAGATTACTAGTTTCATAAGGAAAACATTGAAACAAGCAATTTTCTCAAATCCCCCCCCCCCTGAGTCGGGAGACATTTTGGGTGAATATCTGGGAAGTAAATCAGCATAAATGTCTCGTGCCTTCTCACAGAGAAGGCACGAAGTTGACTGCACACACACCTTGCTCATGTTTTTCTGTGATTTCATGCCTTAATTCAATAGATGTCATCCTCTTCTTCTTCTCAGCACTATCCTTTGCACTTATAGTTTCATAGGACCCATGGTTAGAAAAAAGAAATTTGACAAAATAACTGCACGAGAGATGCTTCGACAGCGCGGTAACCATGTGGCAGCATATCTGAAGCTCACTTGTAACTCAGATTTTGGCTTGCAATTCAAAGCAAAAAATCGACCGAGTGACGGCTCGTAACTAGGAAGGCCCATAAGTTGGGGCACTCGTAGGTCGAGGTACATACCACTGTATTAGAATTAGTCTGCCTGAAATGCTCCTGCATAATAGTGGCTTTCTTTGTACCTAACAAATCATAAAATGTAATCTCACATTGTAACCTCTGCAAAGAAATAAATTTTGTATTGTATCAACAATTTTATTTATTTAAAGATTTAATGAACACTTCATGTAATTAGCATACTTTCCTTGCCTTACTCTTCTCTGTGGAACAACCTTAAGCATTTTTTTTTCTAAAGTGTTACCTATATTTAATGTTCTGAACCATACTCTTCATACATTAAAAAAAAAAGGACTTCTTTTTTCCTCTTGCACAGATAACCCTCACAAAGGAGAAAGAAATTTATGACAATATTTTGGCTCAACTTGGACCATTATTAACTAGTCATGCACTGTTTATGACTAGTTAATGGTCCAAGTTGGACCAAAACATTGTCATAAGTTTCTTTCTCCTATGTGCAGGCTATTTGTGCATTGTTCCAGTCATGGTATTGTGCCTTTTTATTCTTTTTTTTTCTCTTCATTTGGGAGGAAATTGTTGCTTAACTCTCATTACTTTCTAGTGTATCTTACTCTTTCTTCCTTTACTCTGATAATTTCTGTATGTTCTTGCCTAATGTGTGTTTGCTATTTTATTATTTTGTTGCAATATTTCTCCATTCTTTTATTAATAGATTATAAGTATCTTGATAATCTGTGCTCTGTTTTAATTTTATTATGGATTCATATTTTGTCCCAGTACATATTGCTGTCATAGATATAAAGTGTGTAGAATAATTGTGGAAAGTTGTAGTACATAGGGAATGGTATCAGTGTGATGTAATTGTGAGGTGCAGAGCACTTAGGAAGCTGTTTGGCTGCCCCTGGAACACTAGCAAGATCACAGAGACTCAAGCCAATTTCTCTTCTCTTCTAGGGATTCTGGGATGTCCTCATGCCCCCTACCACCCTGATCTCGCAGCATCACCACCACAACACCCACCAACAGTTATATCACCAGAAACCACAAGTGATACGAAGGTACCATTGTCCCTACTGTGGAATTGCTATGAGCCATCGAAATAACATGAGAAAACACATCAGGACTCATACTGGAGAAAAACCTTACTATTGTAAACTATGTGACTATCGTGCCCCGAGGAAAGACATGGCAGAGAAACATGTGTACATTAAGCATCCAGGGCAGGAACTTGGTGTGGTGGCCTGTGATTCCTCATTAATTGCATAGTCAATATTGAATACTACTCTCGATAATCAGAACTGAGGTGGAAACTAAGGAATAGGCTGATTAGACTGACAAGAAATGAGCATCTTGAAAATCAGTGGAACTTCATTGGTATCCGAGCATGAAAAAATGAATAGTTGACAGGGCTTATATTAATACTTCAAGAATTTTATTTATTTCATTATGATAGTATCATTGGTGTTGTTTGTGTGTGTATGGTAGAGTAAGGGACAGTGTCAGTGTAAGCTGTGTATAAGATTTGATTATTGGGTGAGATTATGTAATATGTTTTAAGCTCATGAATGTATCTTGTAGGAATTAATTTTTTTTTTTTTAATTAAGAGAGCAACGGTTAATCAAACATTGGTCCAAAGATGACATTTGCTTTCATATATATACACCTGGCATTTATCATCTTCAGAGGAAAAACTAAAATAAATATTGTGTGTGTGTGTGTGTGTGTATACTCACCTAGTTGTTGTGGTTGCAGTGGTTGAGTCATAGCTCCTGGCCCCGTTTCTTCACCGATCGCTGCTAGGTCCACACACTACCTTCTCCATGAGCTTTATCAAACCTCCTCTTAAAGCTATGTATCGATTCTGCCTCCACTACATCACTCTCCAGATTGTTCCACTTCCTAGCAACTCTGTGACTGAAGAAATACTTCCTAATAACCCTGTGACCCATCTGAGTTTTCAACTTCCAGCTGTGACCCTTTGTTGCTGTGTCCCATTTCTGGAATATACTGTTGCTATCCACCTTCTCATATCCTCTCAGTATTTTATGTCATTATCATGTCCCCCCATCCCTTCTGTCCTCCAGTGCTGTCAGGCTGGCTCCCCTTAACTTTTCCTCTTAGAGCATACCTCTTAGGTCCGGGACAGTCTTGTAACAAACCTTTGCACTTTCTCTTATTTCTTAATGTGCTTGACCAGGTTTGGGTTCCATACTGGTGCTGCATACTCCAATATGGGCCTGCCATACAGTGTACAGTGTCTTGAATAACTCCTTAGATGTCAAAACGCTATTCTTAGGTGTGCCAGGTGCCCATATGCTACAGCTGTTATTAGGTTAATGTGTGCCTCAGGAGATGTGCTAGGTATGATGCTAACCCCAAGATCCTTTTCCTTAAGTGAGTTTTGTAGTCTTTAACCTCCTTGGCTGTACTCCGTCTGCAGTCTCCTTTGTCCTTCCCCTAACTTCATTACTTTGTACTTCCTGGGATTAAGCTCCAGGAGTCATTTGTTGGACCAGGATAGCAACCTGTCCAAATCTCCTTGTAGGCTTACCTGATCCTTGCCCACTTGTATTCTCATTAGTTTCACAACATCTGTGAACAAGGACACCTCTGAATCTATCCCTTCTGTCATGTCATTCACATATACTAGAATCAGCACCAAACCTGGGACTGACCCCTGTGGAACCCCACTCGACACATTCACCTACTCTGACACGTCATCATGTACTAACACCCGTTGTGTGTGTGTGTGTATGTGTGTGTGTGTGTATATATATACACACACACTCATGCACACACACACACCCACTCATGCATGCACACACACACACACACACACACACACACACACACACACACACACACACACACACACACACACACACACACACACACACACACACACACACACTCACTCACACTCACACACACTCACACACACTCACACACACTCACACACACACACACACACTCACACACACTCACACACACACACTCACTACCTACCTACCTTGAAAGTAGTGGGTCTAGCTAATATCTGTTCATGAGTCCTCAGAGAGGGAGCAGAGGCGCTTGTGTGTGCCATTAGTAAAATTTTCAAGTCGATCCAAACAAGGCAGCTGCCAGAGGTGTGGAAGACAGTAAATGTAGTCCCAGTCTTTACGTAAGGAGACAGACAGGCAGCATTAAACTACAGACCAGTGTCTTTGACATGTATAGTATGTAGTCATGGAGAAAATTATCAGAAGAGTGGTGGAGCACCTAGAAAGGAGTGGGTTCATACGTGACAACCAGCATGGCTTCAGGGATGGAAAATCCTGTCACAAACCTACTGGAATTCTACGACAAGGTAAGAAAAATAAAACGGGAGGGAAAGAGGAATGGGTAAATTGCATTTTCTTGGACTGTAAGAAGGCTTTTGACACAGTACCAAACAAGAGACAGGTACAAAACCTAGAGGAGCAAGCAGGAATGACAGGAAAAGTACTGCAGTGGATCAAGGCATACCTGACAGGAAGGAAACGAGTGATGGTCCATGACAAGTGAAGTGCATTTGACAAGTGAGATTCACGTGACAAGTGAGGTTCACGTGACAAGTGAAGTGCATGTGACAAGTGAGGTGCATGTGACAAGTGAAGTGCATGTGACAAGTGAGGTGCATGTGACAAGTGAAGTCCCACAAGGATCAGTCCTAGGGCCAGTGCTGTTTCCTGTACAGTGGACCCTCGGCTAATGACATTAATCCATTCTAGAGAGCATGTCTTTAACCCATTTTTGTCGTTAGGCGAATTAATTTTCCCCATAAGAAATAATGGAAATCCAGTTAATCTGTTTCAGACATCCAAAAGTATTAATAAAAAATATTTTTTTTAAAGATTAAATATAGATATACATACAGAAAAAATGACAAATAAATATAAAGCACTAATAAAATGGATAAATGAACATTTAACATCACACATACCTTTATTGACTCTTGTTGGTGTATGGAAGACAGGTAGGCAGTCAGAATGATAACAGATTCCCACTACAGGCAGCACACTCCACCAATATTCAGAACTGTAAACCTACTCACCATACAAAACATCCATACTTATTATTGTAACTACTACATACATAGAACACTTAACTCGGATATAAACCCTCCCCTCAAACGTCTCCTTACCATCCTCAACAGAACACATGACCATAACACAAGGCACAGATCACTCTTTGATATTCCTCGTGTCCATCTCACACTATGCAAAAACTCAATGCACATAAAAGGCCCAAAAATCTGGAATTCACTACCTGTGAATATAAAAGAAACACTGTTTATATATTCAAGTCTCTTCTTAAAAATCACTTACTCACCCACAACCAAATAAATTCTGAATAATTGTATCTCATAAATGTTTAACCTGTGACCCAATCAAACTTTGTTATTTTTAATTACATTATCTAACAGAATACTCCATTCTACTGAATGCACAGCAACACAGTAAATGACCATATGACCTGTCTTTAAAATACTCATTTGTGCCTAATTGTTAACTGTTTACAACAATGTTTACCACTGAATATATCATTGCTTAGTTAATCTTAAGTTAATTTTAAGCCTGCCCATAATGCTATGCTTACAAGGGGCTTTGGCATGTTACACTTAACCACTGTATTTCCTTGTACTTTTATGTATCATGTTCAAATTAATAAATAAATCAATAAATTATGCTTCAATATGATGCTAATATTATCTCTATGGCTTATTTATCTATCATAATTCATCTAATATGACATAATAAACAATATTAATAACATAGAAACATGATATATACTCTAGAATGAATAAAATGTCAAAATATATGTGAGGAGTAAGTGGTGGTGGTGTTATTGTTGGGTCTGTAAGGGCCAATGAGAGAAGCCGTACATATTAGTGGTGGTGGAGGCGACAGCAGAAGCCACCAACACTATTCACACTTAAACAAAGTAAGTAAGTTTATTCAGGTATACACAAATACAATTATATACATAGATTATCATACATAGCAGCATATGTGTAAAGTACCTAGGATAACCCAAAAAAGTCAGTGACTTATTTCCATTGAGGTCCATTTATATTTACACTTAGATTTACTTTTATACTTACACTTTTATATTTACACCTACCTTGGAGGAGATGCTGGCAGATAGCAGGCCAGCGTATGTTCATTGGCCCGATACACATCCAGCAACATTGGCGAGTTACTTTCGTGTCGTTTTTCTGTCGCTTACTCGCTTAGCTTATTTGCTACACTGTTAATTCTACACTTCATCGCTGGCTGGCACTATAGCCTTTATCGATACCTGCTGCTTTAGTATCGTACATATCACTGCAGAAGGCACATATTCCCCTCTCTCTTCCTCCTCCACTTTGGTACTTTGCTACAAGTTTTTTCTTGAATTTTATTGTGTTTCTTTCCTTCTTTACCACAGGGCTGGCACTAGAAGCTTTTTTTGGGCCCATGGTGGCTTATTTAGTGGTTACAAGCACTAAAAACAATGGAATAATACAAAATATATCGCATGTACACATGGAATCGTCCTCCCTGGCTTGTAAACAATAGCACACTGGCTGTACATGGGCTCAGGCTACGGGGACACATTCGGAACGAATGTCCTTAACCGAGTTCTTAGGCGTTAGCCGAGTCAACATTTTGACGCAAAAACGTGTTGCTATCCGATTCTTTCGTTACCCGATGACACCGTTACCTGAGGGCCCGCTGTATATGTGAATGACATGACAAAAGGGATAGTCAGAGGTATCCCTGTTCACACACAATATAAAAACAATGAGGAGAATACAGGAAGTCCTTGGTTAACATCGTTGATAGGTTCTTAAAAACTGCAACTTTAAGTGAAACAATGTGTAATGAGACAAATTTTACCATAGGCTAATTGATATAAACATCAGGGGTGCAGAGTGAAAATTGTAAGGAGCCCCTTCTACCATCAGGCAGTTCAAAAACGAACGTGCAAACTCCACACAGATAGTGACCTCAGCCAGGAATCAATTTTTTTTTCCTCATCAATGTTATAGTG